GGAGTGTGCAATTCTGGGCTGGGAATTAAACCCAGGTTGCTCACTTAATAGTATAATATATGACCATGTGGTCATGGGGCTGACATTAGAAGAATGCCTTTTATCTCGAGAATTATAGAAGTACACTCTGATGAACAACCACAACCACTTCTTGTAAATGAAAAACTACGTTGTGCATGCTTTTATATGTATCAGTTATATGCAGCATATGAATGTAAAAAAGGCATAAAGTGTCATGTGACTTTGTTTATTTAATAGTAAATAATAGATCATATAAGAAGATAAAATGAGTTTATTGATTCTTAAATATCCATAAAATATTTATAGTCTTGTATTTTTCATATAACTTTGGCTTTACCAGTGGAAAAACTGTGTTTAAAATCAATTATGATATAAATAATACTAGTTCATATATGATCTGTATTAATCATTTTTTCTAAACAGAAGAAAATGAGAACTTTTGAGAAAAGATTAAGTAAAATTTACATTTGGAATCTTTTTAGTAAAATTAGTTCTCCTGTACTTTATACCTCATAAAAGATGGACCTTGGAAGCCACAGTACAACTCTGGAAAATGAAATTTTTGTATAATTTATATAGGTTCTATCTATATTAATTTGTTTCTAGACTATTGGGCCTACTAATCATGAACCATAACCTTATTTGGTGAGTAAGAAAAACTTCTCATTTACTTCCTAATTATTAATTTCTCATGATTGAGAAAACACATTTGCTTTATTCTTCTGATTTGGAGACTATTAAATCAGACACAAATAAATTCGATTTTTTTAATTCAAGAGGAATTAAAATAATAGGCATCTTCTTTCCATGGATGATTAATTGAGTTTCAGGGAAGAGAACAATTTCCAAACCTCAAATCCCAAGTGAGTATTGAGTTAAATGTTAATAATATCAAAGTTTCTTTTGCTCTCAAATTTTGATTTGAGTAGTTCTAAGATGTCAAGAAAATAACACAATAGGTTTGATATAAAAAGTGCCATTGAGGTTTTATGTAGTATGGTAGGCCCGATTTGATGGATGTTAGAGAGATGCAGAAGCAAAATGGAAGA